TTTAGATGATGATGGTGCGCCACGTGGACCAAGACGTACTGCTTTTAGGGCCTCGTTTTTGCGTTTTTCTGCTGATTTCTGCTTCTGCCGTGGATAAGTAGCTCCCCGCCACAATTTTTTGGGTTCCCATGCTCCGTAGTCAATACTCACAACAGGATCTGGAATCAGATGATGCCATCCTCTTTTTTTTTTTTTTTTTTTCTCTCTTTCGTTTTTTCCCCTCCGTTCGTTGGCAACACAAGCTTAAAGCTTTATCCCACGTGAATGTGACGGTACCTATCATTCTCATTATTGTTTGACTAATTAAATAAATATTTAACATTAATTTTTTATATACGTCACATCACAAACTAAGAGCATATGGAATAGGAGTTGATTATAAACAATTTCTGTACCACATCACTATCAAATCAATTCTGACCCATGAATTGCTTAAATTTACAACCCATAAAATGAGTCATAACTGATTTAATAGTGACATGGCATAGAGAATTGCTTATAAGCAATCTCATTAGAGATGCTCTTAAAACATCAAACTTAAGAAAGTTATTCTGATTATCGGGCATCTAATCTGCTAAACCAAGTTATTCGGATTAAATTTGGTGCTTTATTTAAACCAATCAATTATATTATTGTAGAATGGTACCTGACTGTCCTCTGATAAAAAATAATCGGAAGAAAACATCTCATTATAAATAATAAAATAATTTTTTTAACTAAAATTAATTATCAATAAACATATTAATAATATAATTATTAAAAAAATATTAAATATAAAAATTCTCAAATAATAATTTTATCTATATAAAAAATTGTTTTTTTAGTGAAAAGTACGTGAAGAGACTTTCCACATATATAAAAAATTCTCAAATAATAATTTTATCTATATAATATGATGAAGGTAAGGGAAAAACTATTTAGTAATTTCTTTTTCTTACAAACAATAAGTATTAAGCAATTCTGTTGGAGTGAGTAAAATTACTGTAAACAATAAAATTGTTTGTTTGAATATTTTGCACAATTATGTATTAAGTTATATTAAGAGTTCAATTATATATGAAGTTATATTTAAGAGTTCAATTTTAAAATTAGTAATTGAATTAAAATAATTTTGCACTAATTAATTCACGTAATCCGTAATAAATTGTGTAGTAACTTTTTTTTAACTCATTAACCATGTGATGAAGTCATGAAGAATTGATCTAATATTAACGCCTTGTCCGTGGAATTGGTAGATTTTAGTACATCAATAAGAGGAAATATATTTAGAAGGTTTGATTTTTTTTTTTTTTTTTTTTTTTTTTTTTTTTTACCTCTTTAACCACAAACATACGTTGGAAAAATTGATACAAACGTTTATTCAATTATAATTTAGTATTACTTCTATGTTGAGTACATGTAAAAAAAAAAAATCCATGTTTTTAAAACTTTTAAACAAAATAAGTAAATGCATGTGCTTGCACCTATGATATATAAGACCAAATGGGTATGTTGGTATCTTCTTATGGGTGTTAGAAATTCGTTGTTTTATCCAACACCTCGATTAGATAGTGTGACCTTTTATTTTTTCTATAAGTCGATAGTGATATATATTTCATAAAATTAATATAAAATATTTTTAAATAAATAAAATGCTTAAAGCTTGAATCATCTATAGTATAATCAAAGTTCTAATAACTATAAAAAAAATATTAAAGTTTATCTTTTTTTCTTGTCAAGATTAAAGTATTACTCTCTTTCAAATTCACCATTTCCACTATCATTAAAATTATATTCTTCCTATATTTCATTTTTATTTAAATCATCTTCCTCCATTACTTCTTTGCTTTTTTACTTTCCCATATGAAGATGCAATTGTTGTTGCATTCTTCATTTGTGTTTGTCTCCGAGTGTATTTCAAAGGTTCTTCTGTCCTAATTGTCTTGACAACATTTGTCCAACTCAAAACATCATCATCAAAAACCAACTCATCAAAAACCAACTCATCTTCAACATCGCCATCTTCATCCAAATCTCCCAATATTCATTCATTGATATCATCAATATCATCTAAAACAATAGGATCAACTACATCCCAACAATGAAATGTTCTTAAAGAGCTTAATTATATTTAATAATAGTCAAGTCTTAAAGCTTTTGGTGTTCAAGCCTATTTCTCTTTCTTGAGTGAATTTATAATAATTTTTTTAAACATGAATGTTAGTTAAGTTTTTCATTTTCAATGGTAAACTCAAATTTAAACTATTCAATTGTACATAAATATATTAACTTACGTGTTCAAAGGTACTCTAGTTACTCCTCCAACCCGGTGAGCTACAAGTCAAGCTTAGTACTTTAATGGCTATAATTTGCAATTGTGGTGAATGTCCTCCATACATCTTTCACCACTTAGTTGTAATACATTTCATATACAATGCATTAATATTATTATTATTTCACAAAATTATCAAATAGTCATAAAATTTATTAGTGAAGTTAAGACTTAAGAAAATTCTAACTTACCTTAAGTCATTTGACTCTTACTCTCATTGCTATAGGAATGCCAAACCTGCCTCCCACCCTCTTATATATGAACAATTAAGTATGAATGTTGTCTACAATGTCATCAATTTCAATAAGCCTAACAATACATTTGTAGAAGTCATCCACCACCTCATCATCATCATAATCAATTTTTGGGTTTCTAGAAAAAAAAAACTTGGGATTTAGATAATATCTTGCTACATGCAATGGATGATGAAGTTGGTAATCCCATTTTCTATTAATAGTTGCAAATATATCCTTATATTTTTCTTCATTGTGATTGAAAGAAATTTGAATTGCCTATTTGACCTTATCCATAGCCTCATAAATGTAACCCATGTGGTTTTTTTTCTTCATTATCCACAACTTCAACACACGTATAATTGGCCCCATAACCTTTAAAGAATAGGCAACATCAGTCCAAATTGAAGGCATAGGAACAACATTTATTTATTTCTTTCCCTTAGCTTCTCTGACTCCTTTTGACTGAAATCATTTGCCGGAAGTAAACAACATCCTTCTAAGATTGGCCTTTTGCTTAAGGAATGGAACTCTCAGTTCATGGTAGTTTGGCAGTTTTAAATGGGAACCATAGATACCAATAGTCTCAACCATTAATTTAAAACCTTTTGATTTGACAACATTAAATAGAATTTCATTCCTAAAAAAGAATTGGGCAATGTATTAAACCATTAAACCACCCTTGCTCTTGCTTGCTTATTATAAATATCATTTAAGATTGTTTGTCTCAAGGATTTACCTAATTTGATATTTTCTTTCAATTTTTTAGAAAAGTTCAAATCAAGATGACCTTTGACATTTGTAACCGTCATTTTGGCAATAAAAGTGCTTCACTTGATGTAGATGAAGTCTCTATAATCTTGCAACAACTTGGATGTCTTCTTCCTCTTCACTTTCTTGCATAGACTCCATATATACTTTATTGTCAATATTTTTGCTCTCATAAGCAATCTTCGTTTCTAATTTAAAATCCTCTAGTATTTTTCTACAAGCACATATATCTCCTCTCATTTGATTTTTTTGCTCTAATAATTCTTCCTATAGAGGGTTTTTTCTCTTGTATTTTTCACAGGTCACACTCTTCCTAGTGTTTTTGTCTTTTAAGTTTTTCCACTTCAAAAATACATCAATGTTATCATTGGTATAGGCTAAAAAATTTCTATTGAAGAACGTGTGGAACTAGGACTCTTTCTAACAACACTAGTCCCTAAGCTATAATTTTTTTGTTGATTAGCATTTGGTTGGGCCATGATTCTGTTGATCGCCAAAGAACCAAACTGTCCAAATAAAAAAAAATGAACGAAAAAAAAAAGAGAAAGAAAAGGAATAGATGAAAAGATGGAAGAGGAAAAAAGGAAAGGAAAAAAGGGAAGAGGAAAAAAAGGAAAGAAAAAAGAAGAAAAAAATAAAATAGGGAAAAAAACTTACTTTTTAAAAGAAGAAATAACTATTACAATTGTTGGAGAAATGTCAAAGATTCATCAAAGAAGACAAAAATCACCGAAGAAGAAGCAAATCATATGAGAAAGATAGGGAAAAAGGAAGTTAAGAGCTTATAGCAAAATATAAAGTGCATCACTTAATGGGTCAACATATAAAACCAATACAAACTATTTAACACTTAAATAAACAAAATTTCAAATGAAAGTATATACACTCATTTAATGAGGGTATTTTCATTTTTTTAACCGCTGTAAATCACTGCATCAGACCAAGATAGTGTTGCTTCGCTCCATTGCAACCTTGCCCACTCCAACCATTACACAAAATCACTCTGTTCCATGGTTTTTGTAGCATCATAAAGCCGTTTCACTTCGGTTTGCCACTATCTCGATTGCTTTGGCCGTTATTGATAACTATGGTAAGTGTGCTTGACTTTCAACAATTTAGAAATTGTTAACTTTCTAAAAAAATATATCAAAAAGTGTAAAGTAAGTTAATTTTTTTTATTTTTTTTTTATGTTGATTTGTATGGATACTCATTCACTCTAAAAATGCCTAAACATCTCAAAGAGAATTACTCATGAAAGTTCTGACCAATGAAGATTCTAACTAATGAAAAATTGATTGAAGTGTTACTTAGTGAAGGATTGAGTAATGCAATCGTTGAGACGTCAAATTTGATGAGCATTATAAATGTTATCATAGTAAGTGAATAAGTGTCATGGAATATAGTCATTGAGATGTTGAATCTAACAAATATTATAGTTAGGGATAACAAAACAACTTATACTCATAAACAAAACTCGTCGCGAATTATAAATGATTAATTAAATGGATATCTAATTAATAATAGAATGAAACAAACAGTAAGATGCTAATATATATAGATACTCACACTTTAAAATTATTAAAAAATTCTTTTAATTATATATAAAGTAATTTGATTTAATTTGTTTGAGTACAAATATATATGTCATAATTATTTTTTAATACAAATATATGTTACAAAATTATATTTTAATATACTATTTTTTTTTGAATTATTTATTTTTACTTTTGGTAACCATGTTATTAATATGAAGTATCCACCAATTTTGTTGATGACTAAGCTCTGTCAGAGAACCCTGACTAATCACTTTTAGTGGGATCTCTCTTCCCAACTACATTTTTTTTATACACAAGACTCAAGCTTGAGATTTTGCTTAAAAAGACCAAATCTAATATCAATCAAACCAATAACTTGTTAATTTTTCTTTTATATTCATTTTTTTATTATGTGACATTTTCTTATGTCAAAAGCAATTCATTATTAATTATTACCAACTACATAAATTAATTGTTGTACATTTGTTTTAGTTTAATTAAAGATTAAAGATTTTGAATTTTGTATATATACATGTGTATTAAATATTTTTAAAAAAATCACTCATCATATTTTTATTTAATTTAACTTGAATGAAATTATCTTAATTAATGGGATCGAACACTTCATATACTTATATTTATTTAAAGGTATCTCTAGTCAACGACCTACTAATTTTCCTTTTATAGTAGCATATAAAAATGTTTTTTAATATCTAAAAAAAAATATGAAAAAACGGTCTGTTTTCTTTTATATTGCACGTACACGAGAGCACGAAAAGAGAAACAATCCGACCCGAAAAAAAAACACCCGAACGAATCGCGGAAGGTAAGGTGAGCAAAATCAAGCAAGAACAATGCCATTGCCAACGGTCGTTTCCCCTTTCTCATCTTTCTCGGCCATCTTTACCGCGCGCTCTTCACTCCCTCCAAAACGCAACGTTTCCCCTTACCCCCTTTCCATTCTCTCTCGCAGAGACATTGCTCTGCTTTCCTTTCTCGCTCTCGCTCCACCTGCCTCCGCCATTGACTTTGGCATCTGTACGCACCACTCTTCTTCTACTTCCCCAACTACATTCTCTGTTTCTCCTTCTATTCGCCAAAACCCTAATTCCTGAAATTGTTGCGCAGCAGGACCGAAGAATTGGCTCAAAGAGCAGAAAAAGAAATCCTCTAAGTTCCTATTGGCACCCGTCGATGCCTCCCGCGAAATTCTTCGCTCTGCCTATCTCATGCTCAGTAAGTCTTTTCCCTTTTCTCGCTGCGTTCACGCCCACATGGCTTCTTATCTTAATCAGGTTTCGTTTTCATTCCCTCTGCAGCGGAATCCGACGCTACTTATACGGATGAGGATTTAGAGAAGATTCAGCAGCTCTTTGTATCCGCTGCTAGGGATTGCGTACCACAGGACCGGAATTCTTTCGTCACTTTCCAAGCCAACACCGGAGTAGAGGTTTGTGTTCGCCATTTGATCCCGTTCATAATTTGTTTTCTCGCTTGTTTCACTGATTAGGGTTTGAATGACATGATAAAAAAATAGAAATCGTCGACGGTTGTTGAGTGTAAATTTTCAAATGTGTACAAGTTCAACATAACAACGACTCGTAGGATCGGTTTTTTTTGAAAAATCTAAACTGAATTGAACAGTTTTATAAAGGTAGATTAAGTAGATTAGTTAATCGATCCATCTTTTATAAAGTGGATCAGTTTAGTTTTTTCAAAATATGAATCGATTCGGTACTGTGTAATTATCTATTTTTTACTCATATATGGATTGGTTTTTTTAAAAAACCAAACCGAACCAAACTGATCGACTTTGTAAAAATGGATCGGATAACTGAACCGGTTTTATAAAGTAGATCGATTCGGAATTTTTTTAAAAAAAGATCGGATTTTTCAATACAGATCGGATCAATTATAGATCGGTTCAGATCAATATAGATTTTTTGCATAGCCTTAACGACTCGTCTATTTTAAATAAATAGTACTTATATTTCTGACATCCGATCCTATCACACATGGACATATATGTTAAATTTGATATGATTTTTAAATTAATTATTATAAATATCATCAAATTTATCATAAATATGTTATTTATATTTAGGGTAAATTAGGTTTACATAGATAATGTACGAGGCTTGTGAATGAACATGTCAGCTACTGGCGGAAATTATTTGTCTACAAGGTTAATGAATACTTCACATAATAACATACTTGGTGACAAAAAAAATTATGTAAAAGTTTAACTTATTTTTATAAAAAAATAATAATTTAAAGGTCATTTCTAAGATAATTTTTTTATCAGTTGACTGTTATGAAAATCAAACTCTTATTATTATTGGATTATATGGATAGCTCTTTGGGGTATCAAATGATGGGTTTTAGGTTTCGTGTTCATCACGGGGAGGTGCTTTATTCTTCTTCATGTCCCTTTCTCCAAAAAAGCATGCTAGGTCAAGTGCAAGAATCATTTGGATTGAGACATAATTCACCTCCTCTGTTTTTTATGGCAGGTGTGCACATTTCGGTTGGTTGTGAAGAATGCAGCTTCATTGCTCGGAGATAAGGATCCTGTGAAGTTGAAAGCCGAAGCTTTGCTAGATAATCTTATAAGGTATCCAATTTCCAGCACCTGTGTCGTAGCTTTCTGCACCAACTTGTGTCCCTCAAATAGTCAAATCCTTTTAAAAGGAGGGATCTAATTATTTCAAGAATAAGTTTAGGTAGATTTACTAGGATCAAATCATTCTAAAAATAACTTTTGGTAAAGTTACTCCATTCAATAATTCATGATATATTTAAATTTTACCGATTCAACTGTTAAGTTAAAAAATTTTATTATATAAATCAAACATACAAATTTTTTAAATATTTGAAAACTATATGATACTTTTTTATATAGATTCAAATTAATATATAAAATATTTTTATGATTATCTGTCAATTTGAATTAATAAAACAAGTATTAAATAGTTTTCAAAATTTTAAAAAAATTGTAGACTTAATCTTTGTATTAAAAACTTTTAATTTAACGAATGAATTGTTAAAATTTAACACACACCATGAATTATTGAGTGAAGCAACTTTATCAAAAGTTACTCTTTCAGTAATTTGATTCCTCCTCATATATATATATATATATATATATATATGTAATTATATTTTTATATTAGTTTATATATATATATATTTATATATTTATATATGTATGTATGTATGTGTGTATAAATGAATGGTTCACTTACTCCAAGAATAATTCTTGATAGACATACTTCATTTAGCAACTCATGTTTCACATAAAATTTTAATGGTCCTATAGTTAAATTAAAAGTTTTAATGTATAGATTAAATTTATAAATTTTTTAAGAAATTAAAATCTATATAATACTCCATTATATAGATTCAAATCATATAAAATGTTTTTATAATTATCCGTCAATTTGAATTAATGAAATGAAATATCAAATAATTTATAATTTTTTTAAAATTTGTACACATGATCAATGTATTAAAAAAATTTAATTTAATAGTTGGATTATTGGAATTTGATATAAAACATGAGTTATTGAGTAAAATAAATCCGTTAAAATTTATTCTTAGAGTAAGTAAATCCTTTTATTCTACTTTATTTGAGAATATTGCTATTTTTGAGAATACTGCATGTCTATTTCACACATACAAGCAAATCATTGTTTTGAACTTGAATAAACTGGCTGTTCCGAAACGACTTATTTTTGGTTCCATTTTGCAATATTCCTATTGTATTTCATGTTAAGTCTAGGTGTCCAGGCTGCTCTGTTGATATTTCGTTGTAGTGTAATAAAGTGAGCAGTCTAAAGTGCAATGTAGTGGCAAAATGATTTTCTTCCTTATGCATGATCATCAGGCATATTTTTTGTATCCAGCATCAGCATCATTCTTTGTGAACGGGAATCTTATACCCAACACTTTAGCTTATTTCATTATATATTAGGTACTCTTAGTGACTACTTATTCTTTTTAACTTGCTTTTTTTACCTTCCTTTATGATGCTGGACAAAGGCAGGTCCAGTATAATTATATTTTGGTCTTGATGATTGTGTTGAAGTTTCAGAATATCTATTTAGTAATTTTTGATAAATTTATGCCAATTCTGGTACAATTATGTTCCTAAGAGGATATTAATGAATATTTTAGAGGACTGTTTACTGGACAATCTTGTTTTATCATGCCTATAAAAGGAGATTTCTATTTTCAGTTATGAAAATTATTCAAGGGTTTTTCTTGTGTCATATGGTAACAGATAGAAATATATTATTCACAAAGCTTCACCTATTAGCTCAAGCTTTTAGGAGAGTTAGTCCTTCATATCAGAGCCTTTACATATTTGTGTATGTGTTTGGAGCCCAAGTGGTTCCTCGATGATGGGGCATGATAAAAATGTAATGAAGTTATTCATGAGCTTTTAGGAGAGTTAGTCCTTGACGATTGACAGTTGATAGTAAATTCCTTAGTTTCCATTCCGTCTTTTCACCTAAAGCCGTGTAGTTGATGGCATTCCACACTCCTTTTTCCTCCCTTTTAATACTCCTTTGAAATCTAAATCCATGTAGTTTACCATATTTGATTACATCTGATGATGAATGATTGCTTATCACATTACTTCTTATCATGCAGATCTTTCACCTCAATCAGTGGGCTGGCAAACAAAACTGACATTCGACTTGCATCAGATAGGTATCTCTTTGATAGTTGCTTACAGCAATATCTATGAAGACTTTTCTGAAAACCAGGAAACTGTGTTTGACTTTGACAAATACTAAATTTCTGAAAAGCAGCAGGCAAGCTGCTGGAATCTTCTGTATGTTGGATTTATAAGTGGATCATTCTCAAGATTTATTGATCTGTTTTAACAGTTCGAGTAAGATGTTCTTGCTTTTTGATTGAAAGAGGGCCTCATCCAATGTTTTCTGTAACCTGATTTTACTGCGTCTCTTTAAACTTGTTTATAAATGCTTGGAAGGATTTATAGATATGGATTCATTTATAAAAGTGTCGCTACCCTTATTTAATTATAGAGATCACTTTTATGCCTAAACACAAATATGGGTTTATATATTTGTTTTTCCTCTTGATTTATGCCTGGCTTGGTTTCCATTTTGTTTTTCCCTTTTTAAAGTGTTAAAGAGCTCAAGTTTTATCATTCTAAGTTATTGTTGGTTGTTTTAATTTATGATGCTCATATTACTATTCTGGTGTTTATTACCTTGATTATTGTATGGATGGCTTGCCTCTGAAATCATTTTTTTTTTCAGAACAAAGATAGCTGATGCTGTATCAAATACCATATCTTCTCTTGACAAATTTGAGCAGGGAATCAGGGATTGCCTTGAAATCTGACTGTATAGGAATCGGATAGCCTATACTACTTTTTGATGTGGAAAGTTGATCATTAAAAAACTCACGCAAGTATGTGCTTCTTTCTATATCCTTTGGTTCAGCATTTTATTATGCCTACTTTCCTATTTTATATTTTTTTTTTAATTACTGTCAATACTACCATAACGTGAATAGTTGAGTTTTAACTCTAAACTGTAAACCACCTTACTGTATGAACTGGACTTTGAGCTTTACTTTGCTAATACTTTCACCTGTTCGTCAGGGCTATTGGTGTAATCAGCAATTTTCTTTTAGCACCGCGGTGTGTGACTGCCGAGAATATCGAAATATGCTTTTGTCCTACTTAAGTTACTTGTTAGTTCTCAATCTAAAATCTGTAAGCACTCTGTCAAGAGTCAAGACGGATCTGATATTCTTTTTCAATGCATGCTCTTGTTGATAGCTTTATCCTTTTGATATTTACAGGGTATGTTCATAATTTGCAAATACTGAATATGTAATTAACTTTCGAGTCTCAAAATTTGAATATTTTTTCAGGTTCCTTTTTTTTAAAAAAAAAATTCTCTGAACGTTTCTTTCTTCTTGATTCGGTTTTATAGATTGAATATTGGTTATTACTCTGATTTATCATTTTTGTTTTGTTTAACGGATGTTGATTTGATTTATTTTAATCGTTGAAAGATACCAAAAATGGACTTTGTTAACCAAGCGGAAGGTTTATCGGTTCGGGGCTGGACTCTAGTGCAATGGTTGGTCCAAGGTTTTATTGTTTAATATTAATACTAATTAAAGTTATTAAAAACTGCATAGTTTATTTTCCAGCATTATTGTCATCATGTAACTGAAGAAAGTTGAATTCTTCCATTGTTTTTTTGGTAAAGAAAAGTTTGAATTCTTCCATTAAGAACTGGAAAGCGAAAAAAAGCTGAAATAATTACTTTAGTTCCTTAGGTTATTTATAGCTATTTACCCCCTCCAGCACTTCGCCGACGGTGTTGAAATTGTACGAGCGACACCATATGGGCCAACAATTGGTGGACGAAGTGGCAAATTAAAATTTGATATCTACTTTCCATGTGCTATTGTGCAATACAATTAATGAGGATGCATCTAGACAAGACTATGAGTAGACCTGAATTGCGGACAAGGTTATACGTATCAGGACTGAGTGATTGGCCCATTATGTGAAGCATTTTGATCTGGTGAACCTGAAGCCTCCACCAGGTACAATCGACAGCATGGCGTTCCATCGTCTGGATTGGTCTGTAATGATCTAGGCAAGCTGCGGAGCTTGTTGAAGAGATTTAACGGATCATTTAAGAGACCAAAATGTGCATCTGGGTCTCCAATTTGTGAAAGTTTTACATGAGTGAAGCCAATGGATGGCAAGAGATGGTCTGGCCAATCGCTGTAAAATTGGAAGGCTGAATTGGATAGTGTTGTTGACGGCTTATTCATGAAGTCTGCTAAGAGGACTGTGTGGGTTAGGGTGCATTTGTTAGCTAAAATCCTTAGCACTTGCATGGCGTGGGTTTGGGTGAGGTAGTAGAGTATACCTTCTAGAATCCAAACGGTGCTCTTCTGTGGCAAGTACCCTGCAATCTCAAGCTTTTCCATCCAGTCACTTTCTTTTATGTCAGCTGCTACTCTGGTTAAGGATTTGGCTTTGGACATAATAATATGCTGGGAGTCGAATGCTGAGTCCTTAGCCGCTTGTAAAATAGTGGTTTTTACATCCAAGACTTCTGGAAAGTCAACCTCAAACACATCGCTATCCTTCAAGCAACTCAAACGATATGCTCTCGTGTCCATTCCTACATTAAAAGTTCCAACTTTATCAATATATATCTTTTGCGCGGGAAAATTACGAATATATTATTCTTTTGGCATGTATCTCGCTGTTCATATTTTTTTACCCTCTTTTGGAGCCTGGTAATGAGGAATTTGCATTGCGAAGTAAGAAAAAGCGTGCTAGCAAAGATAAAAATATGGGCAGATGCACTGGGTTGTTATGTCATTATGTTTAGCTTCTGGGTAGATAGGTAGTGGTCCAAAAATGAATAGTGCTGATGTAAAGAATAGTTTGTCAAAATCAGGAAGTTGGCTTTTTGAAAAATATCTTGTAACATGATGAGATTGAAGCCGTAATGCACCCAAATGTCCTCAATTTTTTTGGCCGAGTGCTATTCTCTGAGACAACAGAATGGTAAAGTCGCATTTGACCAATATAATTTACTTATTCTGAGTTACCAAGCAGATTAGCAGCGAAAGTAAAGGTTGCTTAGCTTAGTTAGCTGATTATATGCCAATATTACTAAAAGAAAGATCAAAGGTTTTAGACAAAATTAATTTCATATGTAGTCAAGTGTTGACAGACCTGCACCAAGGAGAACAACTTGTGCTGCTCTTCCATTTGGGGAATTAAGGGCATCTTGTAGTCTAGAATCAAACCAAAGGGTTCGAACCGCAAGAATGACCCCAGAAATTTCACGAGCATTGCTGAGACGGTCTTTCTTGATCTTTTCATGGAGATTTTTCAAGTAAGTCTCCCCTGCCAGTAAGTCAGCGAGTGGATCATGGATAGCATGCTTCCACAGAGCCCTTCCCGCAGCAGTTTGACAAGCTGACCTTTGAAGGAAACCCCATTCTTTTTCAATAGTTGCATGGATTTCTCTAACAGCATCACTGTTCAACAAGTCTGGAAGCTTTAGCTCTTGGTCTTCAGGCAAGCCATTTACTTTATCTGACATGATTGTGTGTTACAGAAAATAAGAGTTTAAGAGGGTTTCTGAAGAAGATAATGCATGTTATTTATATATAGAGGAGTTTAAAGATAAGGAAAAGAGAACCACACACAAGCATGGATGCCTAAATTATATCCGGCGTCTTGCCTTAATGAAAGGCAAGGTAACAATGCAGTCCACGACTACCACAACGTACATATAACCCAACCCTCTCCTTTTTTCAAGTGCAAAAGTGACATTCTGTGGTTCCCACTTAAAATGACTAGTACTAGATCACTAGATGTGGCTGCCTCAACTTGGATAACAACAACTATGGACTCCACTAGGGGTGAGTATTAAACCGAGACCCGAATCGAACTCGAAAAACTCGATAAAAAATATTGTTTTTAGGTGGATTCGGGCGGGTCTTGTGGGTAAATCGGGTTAAAATTATGATTTTATACGGGTTATATTGGCGGGCTCGGTTTTGAATTTTTAAACCCGCTAAAAACCGAACCCAACCGAAAATGAGATAAGTTTAAATTTTTATTACTTTTGTATAACTAAACGACAATGGTCCAAAATCCCAAGCGTGTGGTTCAGCGGTAGGGGTTGATCCACGCTTAAGCAAGGTCAGGAGTTCGAATCCTGCCTTGTGTATGCAGTCGCGTTAAATCTTGGAGCCAGCTATCCCACGCCCTGGATACTCCAGGGACGAACCAAAAAAAATAATATAGCCATCAATTTGTAACTTATTTTTTTCCTTTTTCTCATAACTTAAATATTTATTTTGTCTTCCCCTTCCTCATTCAACTTCTCAACACATTAGTCCATTTTTAGAGTTATTTTTTTGCTTCTTTATTTGTCTTTCTTTTCCATCTTCTTATCTTCATTTTGAGTACAACTTGTGTGACTGTGATTTCTTATTTGTAATCTAACTTTAGATTTCTTTTGCATGTAACAACTATGAATTTTGTTATCTTTTACTTTTGCTTCTTTAGTTTGTAAATGTTTCAACTACGAATCTACCTACACCATCTATTATCACCTTCATTCTATTTTTATACACTATTTTAAAAAAAAAAAATTATCGTTTTAAGCTTCATCTTCGTTAAGATAAATTGGTCTACAAAAAAATTCAAACCCGATTATATCCACCCGCTCAAATCCGAATTCGTTTCAACTCGAACCGCCTAAAATCAAAAGTTCAGTTGATCGGATATGGGTCACATTTTTTCAAAGTCAAGTTTACAACGGGTTAGACATTTTTCACCCGAACCCGACCAAACCCACCCTTTGCTCACCCCTAGACTCCACTACATCATTATAAACTATGATGCAACTACTCACATGTAACCAAACATAAATTATTCAACTTCCAATCACTAGTAATATTTGCTAATCCACTACATCATTATAAACTATGATGCAACTACTCACATGTAACCAAACATAAATTATTCAACTTCCAATCACTAGTATTATCTGCTAATCCAATTCAAACATTAATTTGGTTCGTTTCAATATTTATTAACACCGGTTTCATTTTCATTATGTTTTAAAATATAAATCGTAAGTGCCTAAATCAATAATTGATGTATATTTTTAAAGGTATTTTTTTCAGAATTATGTGTATTATAATGTTTACTGGTTTTTTTTACACCAATTATGATGTTTACTGTTAAACACCTAAACAAGCGATTAAGTCGTGCTATCTTGCACTTTTAATAATTAATTATCTAATTACTGTAAATGTAATTAATAACATGTTCATTTTCACATATTTTTAATTTTTAATTAAAAATCATTTTACTTTATTAAGTTTTTGAAAATATTTAAAGTGTATTTGTAACTCTTAACATTTATGATTTAACCAATCAATTAATAGCACATATGTACACCCTTGTGATGCACCACCTTTTTTTTTTTTTTTTAAGTAATGATTTAACCTCCGAATCTTGTATCCAAACTTCGACCGAATAAATAAAATAATAATATTTTTTAATAAACTAATTAAAAAATATTATTATTTTATTTATTCAGACGAAATTTCAAACAAAAATTCCGTCGCTGTATCAATATTTTTTTTTTCTCTACCTAAAATACCTACTAGGACTAGGACTATTCGTACGGGGCGGTATTTTATTTTATTTTATTCAATATAGGGAGGCAATTGCTATATTATCTTTCTTGCTTGTGTTTTTTCTTTTTTTCTTTTTTAAAAAGTTTGAAGTTTTTTTTATTGACAACAAAAGAATTTGAATTTGAATTTAACTTTTTTTATTGACAACAACAGAATTTGAATTTAAAATACATATAATATTTTTTAAATCAATTTAAGTATTTAGTTGTACATCATTCCTCATAAGACACCAACAAGAATGTTATTAATTAACAATTTCTATTCATTTTATTATGAAAATGTATTTTTTTGTAAGTAATTATGTGTATGTATGTAGAGCCACTTTAAAGAGGGAATCATTGTATCCACCATGAAACTCTTTATGAGGAATCTTTAAAAATTCTAATGGATCACCGTCAAGTTCTTGATATAACCTTTCTCTACTGGTAAGCAGGGTGTTAAGTGTTACTTGGCTTCTTAATCTTACGTCTATTCATTGAGCTACTTTGTTAAGTACCCGTATGCTACAGAATATATTCACTCTTCTAACCCGCTTTAAAATACTTGTGAATTTAAACCAGTTGTTTTCTATCTATAGTCAACTCAATGGTATTAAAATAAATATTCAACATGCCACTCCAGTTCCAATAAAAAGAAATTGCAGTAAAAAAATATTTTTTTTGCCACTACTTTACTTACATATTTTATGATAAATACATACATACTATTTTTTTTTTATTTCTAAACTATTATCTCAAATTGTATGAAAAATGATTATTAAATGAAATAAAATAAAATATATTTATCATATTTTATTTTATTTAAATACGACATTTGTTAGAAGAAAAAAAATTCAATATGTGAAGATATTATATTTTTAGTTGTGGGATAGTTTTAGCAGCATGTGCGTGATTATAGATTCGATTTTGTCACCATTATTATAATTTAAATGGGTAAAAAATACTTATTTTTTATAATCTTAATATTTTTTTCTATTTTTTTATATGATCAGTAAATTTTAAATAGATTGCGGTAACAATATACATAAAAACATTTTTAATATACTTGAATGTGTGAATTAATTGATAGAGAGTTGTTTTAATTAAATTAGTGATTTTAAATTTAAGAATTGAGAATGCAAACTATGATAAATATATTTAGATGAAAATTTTTGTTACTTACACTTATCTTATACCGTTTCATGTAAGATAATTATTTTTTTGTGAAGGATACCTGCAATGTGTAATAAAAAAAATATAAATATGTTATATTATCATTTTATTACATATTGATATATTACATGATAAGATTATTGTTTCTTTAATAAATATTTTAAAAGTTATATTTAAAATATTTAATCAATAGATAATTTTTTTTTTTTGAAATATGTGAAGTTAAATTTTAATAAATAATATATAATAAAAAAAATTAGTATTTTTTACTTATAAATATGGTCTGAAAAACAATAATATATTACATTTGTGTCACATTATTTTAGTATTTTCAATATATTAATATATTACGTGTGTGAAAAACAATAATATTAAGAAAAATTAATTTCACAAAAACAAATTATTTTAAAAAAATTACAAATTTAAACTGTCAGTATCTTAACTATACCAAATAAATTTCAAACAATTTAAAAAAACACTAAAATGAGAAATTATATTTTCCCATAAATACATATCCAAAGGATTCTGCTTTGACTGAATACTATCCCATTCACTCAACATAATAATATTTTGTTCACCTGTATATTTTTTTAAAAAAAATAACAGGTTTATGACCTAATCAATAAAAAAAGAAAAAAAAAATTACCCAGGTGCTTTACACGTGGGAAGAACAGTAGCCACAATCTGTAAGAAGATAAAACATCATCTCATCTCACTATTGAATTAAAAGTAATTTTAATACTGTGACACTTGCTTGGCGGCAGAAGTGGAAGAATGCAAGAACAAAGTGACGACTCAGCCTCGCAATTGGGAATATTAGTCAACCTGCACCGTCACAATAATAAATAAGAAAATTCATGTTACTTTCAACATTATTATTATTATTACTTATTATTTTAAAAAGTTAAAATTACATTTACAGTTACACTCCATTATTTTTCATACAAATTTTCTTATTATATTGCAAAGAAAACATTAAATGAAAAAGTAAGTGATATATTTTTTTTTTTTTAGGTTCGTTCATGGAGTATACACCGCCAACAGTAGTGACTAATCTCCTCGCTATGTTATAGGCATTTCAAAGAGTGGGATAGCTGATCCCAAAATTTAACGCGGCTGTATATACAAGGCAGGATTCCAACTCCTGAACTTGCTTAAAAAGCAAGTGATATTTGATACTTGAGAATATAAAACGTATTTGTTGATCTAACATTTATTCTTATGTTAGCGAGGAACATGATGAGACGGAAAACGTGAAGAAATCAGAATCAGCAAACCTGAGACCTTAAAAGAAGAGAAGAACCTGTGCTTGGAAGATAGATGGCGGCGGAGATAGCATGCTGCGGAACAAAGTTTTCACTGTACGTGCTGGTCATCGTAGGTTTGGTGTGCTTCGCGGGCCTAATGGCTGGGCTCACCCTTGGCCTCATGTCTTTGGGCCTTGTCGACCTCGAAGTTCTCATGAAATCTGGTCGTCCTCAGGATCGAATCCACGCTTGTTAGTTCCATCCCCTTTTCTCCTTTCAAGTTCCAACAACTCAATTTTCTTCTCGCTTGCTAATTCATTATTATTTTTTCTTTTTTGCAGCGAAAATATATCCAGTGGTAAAGAACCAGCATCTTCTGCTTTGCACACTTTTAATTGGAAACTCCTTAGCCATGGAGGTACTTTCAATTTGAATTTGTCTTGCCTTCAATTAAGTAATTTAACCTTTCATTTTCACTTGACTCTGCTTAATCTTAATGTTTCCATTTCAGGCTCTTCCCATTTTTCTTGATTCTCTCGTGCATCCCGCCGCAGCAATCTTGATTTCGGTCACCCTCATCCTCATGTTTGGAGAGGTAATTATTGGTTCATGTGAGATGATATGAATAATCAATTCGGCAGTGTCTTGTTTTGTGAGGTTCCTTGTAATTGGTGCAGATATTGCCACAAGCAATTTGTACAAGATATGGATTAACAGTTGGAGCAACGTTGGCTCCACTTGTTCGTGTTCTTCTTATAGTTTTCTTCCCCGTGTCTTATCCAATCAGCAAGGTATGCTTTTAGTCTGAATATATGTATCATTTAAAAAGAATATGTATGATGGAGATTGTAATATTTTCAGGTTCTAGATTGGATGTTGGGTAAAGGACATGCTGCCCTTTTAAAGAGGGCAGAGCTCAAGACTTTTGTGAGTTTTCATGGAAATGAGGTATGGGCTATATATATATATATATATATATGTATGTATGTATGTATAATTGGAATTTTGAAATTCCAAGTTTTATAGGAAATAATGAAACTATTGTCTTTAAATTCATTTGAATATGAATGCTTTAAGATGTGCTTCTGTAATATTTTGATGTGGGTTTTTAAAGTATATTTACTTATGTTCCAGTTCTTTCAATATGACTAGGCTTTGTTCTCTGATTTTAACATGGCTATGTGATCGTGTACTTTTCTAGGCTGGTAAAGGAGGAGATTTAACTCATGACGAGACAACCATCATAACTGGTGCACTTGAATTGACAGAAAAGACTGCCAAAGATGCCATGACTCCCATATCAAAGGCATTTTCCCTTGATCTGGATGCAACTCTAAATTTGTGGGTTTGTGAATTCTTTATCGTTCTCTCCACTGTTCTGATGACTTCTTTTGTTCTAACCTTGTCTTATGTGTTTGCACTGAAGGGAGACACTGAATTCAATAATGACAATAGGTCATAGTAGAGTTCCAGTTTATGCAGGAGAGAAAACCAATATTATTGGACTTGTTCTGGTAATTTTTTTCCTTTTGAGATTTTGTAAATTGATGCACAGGATTTTAGATTAGTAGTTTCAGTGATGATGTCTGTTATTAATGTTCTGTTATAATTCTTGTAATGTTGGATCACTTCATATTGTGGTGAAAATTATTATTAGTGGTTTGGCTACATCAAATTGTAACATACAATTGATTTGTCCTTCCTCCTCCTTCCCTTGTTGGAGAATATCCCTTACTAAATACTCTAGTGACTAAGCCAACACTTTGAGATACACAGATTGGACATGATAGTTTAAGTTATAGTATGTTACTATAATATGTAGTGAATAATGTTTGTGAGGATTAATGCTAGGATATATTTTTCTGTCAACTGTTATTGTTGTCGTTCGGATTACATGTATAAATATGATCTTTACACAGAAGTATTAAGACCAGATGATGGGAAAACGTTCTTAAGGATTGATGTCAAGCTCAAAACCTTCAATCATATCATGATTATTGTTATTGTTTATGTTATACTTAGTAATGGATTATGGATCTGTTATTGTGAGAAGGGTATACCTGAAAGATAATAGAACTTTAGTCTCAAGTCGCTCTGAAATACAAGAGGTTTTTTGTGTGATAAATAGTTTAAGAAAAAAACCCAGCTCTTTTTAAGTTTCTATCCACTATTATGTCATTGTAATTTAATGATTTGATGTGCAGGTTAAAAATCTCTTTATGGTTGATTCAAAGGCTGCAGTTCCTCTTAGAAAAATGATCATCAGAAAAATTCCTCGGTAATTCTTTTTCATATGTGAGAGCCTGAGAGGAGATACATTATCTTTATCTATGAACTTAACATTTTTGTACTACATTTTTTATATGCTGGTATTACAAAGTAGTCATGATTTCCTATTCATCCTGCAGTGTTTCAGAGAACATGCCTCTGTATGATATACTGAATGAATTTCAGAAAGGTCACAGTCATATTGCAGTTGTGTATAGGGATCTAAATGATAAAAACAAAGCTCCCAAAAGGATTAATGATGGGGAACAACTTGATCTTAAGGACAACTGTAAGAATAAAGGAAAGAATGCACACTTGAATAAAGGTAGAGATTTAAATAAAAGTAGAATAAATTTCATTATGTTAAGTGCATGCTTTTGAAATATAACATTTAGTTAGCAATTTGGTAAAGTCATAAAGCATGACATGCAAATTGTTCTTTAGTTTCCCCAAAGGTATCATTGTTTTCCCTCTTTACTGACCTTGTTGATTATTTTCAAATCTTTCGTATCCAGAAACTGTCATCTGTTTTAATTTGTTTCCTTTTGTGAAGATCATTTTATGCGCCATGTGTTTTTACTTCACTATTCAAGCACGTGGTTTTCTATTTGTATCTTTAGACCATATGCCTCAATTACGTTCTTTAGTATCATGATCCTTTGTGGTTGATCTACTCAGTACAAATCTATGATTATCATGTTTGACTTAACTGTTGCTGCATATATAGGTGCTAATTTGGAGTCACGTGATACTACTTTGACTACTGTTACTAAGATTGACGATGCTCAACAAGCAAAGAAAAGTCCACCAGCAACTCCTGCTTTTAAAAAGCGACATAGGGGTTGTTCATTTTGCATTCTGGACATTGAAAATGCTCCTCTGCCAGTGTTTCCACCAAATGAAGTGGTTGTTGGTGTTATTACAATGGAGGATGTCATCGAAGAGCTTCTTCAGGTTAATAGCTTTAATCCACTCTACTTGGAATTAGTGGTTTGGTTTTGGCTCCAAATTATTTAGTCTTGTATGTTTATTTTGATACTCTTTTTAGTATTCATGGTGCAACTCTAGCTGTCACCGACACAATGATGAAATTTTTTTTTCACTTTTTCACTGTTTCATTCACCATTTGTTATTGCTGCAGTGGCACATGATTCCCCCTCCAGTGTTCCTTCATATATGCACTCAGTATGGATGATTAAGTGCTGTTTTTATAGTTATTGAAGAAAGAACTACTCGATTTGACTTTTGCAGGATTACTTCTCTGTTCCATTTGGATGTTGCAAATTGCTAGAATGAGTTGTTTTATCGCTACAAAATTTAGCTTTGTATATTATTATTGCTTCATATATTATTATTGTTATGAATATGACTACAGGTTGCATGCATGAGGCATGCTTCCATTGCCTTTTAATTCACTTGTCTATGTTGATCCATCTTAATTAAATCCTTTTGCATTTCAGGAGGAGATACTAGATGAAACTGATGAATATGTCAATATCCATAACAAGTAAGTTTACAATTGTTCCCTCTTAATTGTCATCTGAAGCCCCCCAATTTAGTTAGATCACTTTGTTGCAAGTTGGCTAGTGCTTCCCAGTGTATTTTTGGAAGCAATAGATCATTGTTAGCTTATAGAATGAAGCATATTAAATTGATTTATTGCAAATGCAGGATAAAAGTTAATATGAATGCTTCTAAGGAGAAGGCTCCTGGTGCTAATCTGTTGCGGCCCTCTCAAGCAGTTCCAGGTCATACACCAACTAATTCACTTTCTACAGCTACTTCTGCAACAGGGTCGCCTACCACAATTGATCAAATCTCTGAAAGCGAGTCACTCAGGAATCAATAGTTCATTAAGAATATAAGAGAATGAGATAGGTTTGTGTTTGTGTTGAAAAGGCAGAGCAGTATATAGTTTATTGTAAAAATTCCCTGTATGATATTATGTTAATATTAACAAAGGAACACTACGGTAGCGTGTGCCTCGCCAGACAAAACAGAATGGAGTTCATTTTGGTTTCACTTTTAATGGAAGTGGAATTAAAATCTATCAATTTTTAATATCACATCTAGTTTTGTTTAGTTTTTAAATTCTACTGAACATAAAACACGATTTTATGTTATGTTCTATGTCATTTCTTGGTAATCATATTTTATCTAGCGCTACCTACACACACACACACACCATATTTTAATGTTAATATTCCTGTTTCATGATATGTTAAACACGACTGTAATCGTATTGTATTCTAAAGAGTCATCCCATGCTCACATGTTAGGAGAATAATCTATTTGGGAGAGAATTTTGTATTATATTTCCTGTGTAGAAATTCTTCTAGTCAGTAAAAGTTTTAAACAATGAAATAAATTTTTCGAGAGTTTTGTATTAAATTTGTGTGAATTTTTTGAGTCAGTGACGATTTTAAAAAAATGAAATAAATTTTTCAAAAAGAACATTTTAAAAATGTAATATGAAAGAGCTTTTACAAATTGGTTTGTAAGTAAATTAATATTCACTTTTTGATGAATTTATTTTATTTGTTTTTTTATAAAGTATTTTCAGAAAAAGTTTATTCAAATATATTCGTAATAACTTTTCGTTTTTTTTATTATTGCTCTTGTATTCGATCTCACTCTGGTATACTATATAGTGAAGTTGTTGGATGTTTTCTAACCCCAAACATTTTCTGAAACTTCTTCTCTTTTACTAATGAAAGGTATTTAAAAAAAAAAAAAAAAAAAGAAGAAGAAGACAATATTAGAGTGTTAGTATTTTTTCAGTAGCTTTTTGTTATCTTAATTTTGAGAATAGACAATTATCATAGCTATATCATGTAGCATACCTTTCTAGGTGTGGATTCTATGTAATTACAAAAATGACTATATGAAAACATAATAAAATAAAATATATTAAAAAAATATGAGTTAATCACCTATACACTTGTAAAGTTTTTTTATACTGGTAACCAATTATATTTTTTAATTGTGTCATAACTCAAAAAATATTTGCTTGGACGATGATTGTATTGTTGGAGCTTGCGGTTATTTTTAAATGTAAGGGATCTTAATCTCTCATTTTTTCTTCCGACAGAAAATCCCAACTTTTTTTATCACGGTTATAATAACACCAAAACTTAAAACTCTGTCATTATCTCAACTCTTTTGCGACTAGCAACTAGATTGACTTTAGCAATTCATTCTTCATCTTTTTTAAAAGTGATCTTATAAAATAACATAAGAGTTAAGACGTGTCGAATTAATATAAAAAATTTACAAATATATTACATGACAATGAAAAATTTTACGTGAACAATAAAAAGGAGTTGATAAAAGTTGCTTTTCTTATATTTAGGACTAACTCCCGTTTTGTCTTTGAAATTGTTGGCAGAGTTAATCTAAAATTGAAAAATAGAAGAAAAATTTTGTCCTTAATTTAATTTCGTTAATCACACTAGCCCTTATTAGTAAATATCCATTAACTAAGTCATTCAATTCAATATCTAATGAGACATGTTATTTGTCCAATCTTAAACGTATAAAGAGGGAACAAAAATAAATAATTAGTATATATATTACTCAGTGATAATATTTTTAATATTCTATCAATATATAATTTAAAATTGTAACGACTCGCTATGGTCTCTACACTTAATGGAATCGCATTAAATGGAAACTAAGATAATTAATAAAATTGGATAACTCATAAATACAAAACATGAACAAATATATTTATATATATATATATATATATAAAATAATAAAGTTTTTAAGTATTAGTATTTATACAGTTATCCAAAACTACTATCTCCTAGTGCCGGTCAAGCACAAAATTGTTACCCAAGATGGTAACTCTGACACTAGGTACCAAAAAAATCCACTTCTAGCAGCAGTCAACAGCTCCAACCTAGCCCTGATCTGCTCCCATACACCGTATGATCATAGCAGTCCATCCACATGGAAACAGAAGGGTAAGCTAGAATTCAATAAACAACCATACAAGTATAGGAAAAAAACACTATACTACCCATTCATCCAATCATCATCACAAATGACCATACTGTTCAACATAAAAACACAACTCATTCATACAACTTAGAAACAACTTTAATATAACAACAACAACAATAATATACAACTTAATATTTAAATGCGTCGTCACGCATATACAACTGGGAGATCTCCAACAACTGAGGTTGAGCAGTCTAGGTGGCATAAACCCTACCGAATCTAGCGTTTGACCTATCTCAACCAGGTCAGGTATAGAACAACTTTAGGAACTCCGAAGAGAACCAGGTATAGACAACAATAGTTGATTTCTCAGGTGTGCCACTTAGACTCGGAGGTCCAGTACTACTGTCAGGACAGAAGGGTTTGGGTATGAGCCTACCACGGCCTTGGCTAGCTTCACCAATCCACATGTGGAGTTAGCCCACCCACTGTCCTCCAAGTACCACGCACCCTCCAGTATCTAGTCAAAGACTGCATCTCTAACTAGATACCTTACTCAAATTGGTCATTCAACCATGACATGGATCGACTATTTCCATGTCGCCCACACAGTACTAAGGGATTCAACTTTAAAACAACTTTCAACTTTAAAACAACTTTCAACTTATCACCTTAGTACTATGTATCTCAACATCTGGCCGCTTGTAATCAGTATAGCTCGGCCTGGCCCCTATACCGTGGTCGCTTTGTACACGTGTGCCTCGACCTTGCCCACACACGGGATCAACTAAGTCCTAGAGGAGAACAATACAACATCTACTCCAAGGGAAAACTTCCCAAGGAGGGTTTTTCAACAAATTGGGCTCTCAGAGCACCACAACTATCTCAATTCACACAATGGGATGAGCAACTTTGAAAACATCTCCCCTAGTCCTAGTGATCATCATCACAACTTAATCAACTTAGCAACTTAAACAACATACAACTTAATTAAACAACTGTAGTCATTACAATATCAAATTGATGCAACTTAACAACTTTATAAACAACTGCAGCAATATATCACCTAATCAAAATTCATCTATCATGTCAACTAACACATAAACAGCATAAATCAACTTAAGCACTCAACAACTCAACTATTTCAACAAAAGAACACCACGCATAAAACTTTCCTAACTCTCCTGAAATTAAACAACTTACATTCTTGCTTCCCTCACCTGAAGATTGGCTCAAATAGCCAAAAATTGAACAAAAGTAGAATTTCCCTTCGAGGCTCAACTCAGAACATCAATCCACCCAAATTAAGCTTTCTAATATGAATTTCAAGAAATGACAGAAGGCATTAGTGGTCTAGAGGAGATAAGGAATCATATAGAGAAATTTGGAAGAGAAAAGAGCTCACAGACCCAGAGACCTTCTCTCTAAAACTTCTCTCTAAAAACTCGCATTCTCCTCAAGGCCCTCAACCCCTATTTATAGACTTTACGGAAAGGCCAGAACGGCCTGTACCGAAACCGGAATGGCCCGTTCTGTACTGCTTCATCAAGTGCAAAAACCTCATGCAGAACGGCCCGTTTTGAAATCAGAACGGCCCGTTCTGGGACTCATCCATAACGGCCCGTTCTGCATCCAGAACGCCCCGTACTCCAACCAGAACGGCCCGTTCTCCAACCAGAACAACCCTTTTTGGAATTTGGAACGGCCCGTTCTCCCTCCAGAACGGCCCGTTCCCAACTACGTTTTACAGGTTAATTTAATAGCTTGGAATGGCCCGTTCCAGATTGGGAACAGCCCGTTCTGGGCTACTAAATTAGTCACATTTTTTTATAACAATGTTACAAAAATAACTATGTTAACGAGAATATTTTAGTTTTTATTTTTCAACAAAAATATTTTATGTATTTTTTGTCTCTTATTTTTTAATTTATTATTTTTACTTTAAATTAATTTTAATATTTTAAAAATAACATTGTATCACGATTAAATTATTTACCATTAATCTTATATATAACTTAAATATTTATAGGTATTAATGAGCTAACATGCTTCTCTAAAGTTGTTTGTTCTCCTTTATAGTGTGATGTCATGCACAAGGAAATTGAGGCTCTTGAAAATAATTATACATTAATTCTTGAAGATTTGTCACTTGGAAAGAAAATTATTAGGTGTAAATGGGTGTACAAAATCAAATACAACTCTAATGATACTATAGAGAGACACAAAGCACGTTTTGTTATTCTTGGCAACAATCAAGTTGCAGGCATTGACTTTAATGAGACCTTTGCTTCAATTGCTAAGATAGTCTCTATTCATGTGTTCCTTATGGTAGCTATTATTCGTGGTTGGGAACTCCACCAAATGGATGTTCATAATGTTTTTCTACATGGTGATCTTAATGAAGAAGTATATACTTCTTTTCCTCTAGAGTTTTCTGGTGCCTCTCCTAGGAAGATCTGTAGATTGAGGAAATCTATGTGGTATCTAACAAGCACCTCATAATTGGTTCTCTAAGCTTGCTTCTGCCTTGAAGTTATTTGGATTTGTTCAATTCTATGTTGATTACTCGTTCTCTCTTAAACGACATGGTGTCATTATTCATATTCTTATGTATGTTGATGATTTGATCATTGCCGGGAATGATTTTGCAACAATTGTTAATTTCAAAACTTATCTTAACACTTGTTTTCACATGAAAGATTTGGGAGTTTTGAAGTATTTTATTGGTATTGAGAGTGCTCATGGACCCGATGATTTATTTATTTCTTAACGTAAATATATGGATGATATCATTTCTGAAGCGAGTATGCTTGGTTCAAAACCTTATGAGTTTCCCATGGAACAAAATCACCAATTAGCCTTTCTTACAAGTTTCGATTTTCCTCATCCAGATTGTTATAGACGACTAGTCAATATCTGATTTACTCACCATCGCACGCTCATAACTCTATTATTTTGTTCACACTTTAGCCCAATTTATGCAAAGTCCCAAAGAAATCTATTGGAATGTTGTTATACGGGTTCTTCATTATTTAAAAGACAATCCTGAACAAGGTCTTTTGCTTTCTAAAAACACTGCACTATTTCTTACTGCTTACTGTGATTCAGATTGGACCACTTGTCTTTAACTCGTC